TGTCTTCCCACTGCACTGCGAAACCTTTCTTTCACTGGTCGAGCGTCCACGCACACCACGCACACGGAACCTACACGATGTGATTCCAAGTAGAATGACTTGTGCAATCACACTGTGCCTAGAGTTAATTCTGCAATGAAAATGTACGTGGTAAGTGAAGTGGCCTTGTGGTGGGTGCCACAGGGGTCCTCTCTGTGCCCTGGTCACCTGCAGTCACGACACTGCCCACGATGTCCTCTGAGCAGGACCCGAGGCTTCCAACTGTCCTGGTCTAGGCCACGGTCCACACGAGGTCAGGCTTTTCATTGATGGCCACGCTGACGCTAATGCTTGTTTCAGCTCCGTTTCTCAAATGTTGTGCGTAAGTGACCCCTGCAGACCATGAAGAGCCTGGCAGCTTGCACTTGGATTTGATCTTCAATTGTAGGGAATTAGCAGTGAGAGAAGGACCGAGCTATTTCTGAATTATAAACTGTGCCGTAATAAGGGAACTGCTCATTACTTTGTTCGTAAAACTGAGCTCAACTTTTTTACCAGAAAATTTCAAAAACACACAAAAATAACTTCAAGGGTATTTCCTGTTAACGTTTTACATTATATATATGATAATCTCTTTTTCCAACCATTTGAGTAAATTTTGGACGTGATACCCTTTCGCCCCTAAATACATCTGTGTACATCCCAAGAACAAGCATGTTCTCTTAATGTGCTCTCGGGACTGATCAAAATCAGGAAATTAACACTGGTGCAAACTACTCACATTGTCAGGATTAAACTCTGAGGAAAAAATATTTTTTCCCAGACGCTTAAGGGCAAGGGTTTGCTCGGTGAATGTGTCACCGCACTCGTGCATGGTAGCTGGTCTAAGGGACACACTGTGACTTAAAGTCTTGACTTGCTGGGTCAGGTTTTCTCGTCACTGTCCCCTCTTCCTGCTCACCCAATGTCAGCTGATGGCCAATTTAACAGAGAATGTGGAATGAAAGGGGCGAACCGTCTGCACTCTGCCGTTGGGCTGAGCGCCCCCCACTAAGAGATCGGGGGGCCTCCACGGCCCCGAGAGGCACAGGCACGCGGGTCTGCCGAGTCGACACCGATCCTTTCAAAGACGCACCTTTCCAGCCAGCGGGGACGAAACAGCCCCGTTGGCGACGCTCCTCCTGCCGTGGTCCGGAACCACGGCGGGGCGGCTGGACAGGGAGGAGACCGGCCTGGACACGGAGCCCTCGGGACTCTTCTTGGAGCCTGGAATTCTGAGCAAGGAAGACGACAGGTCAGGGGATCCTCTCACTAAAGCCACGAATGCTTTACAGAACGGGAGCATGAGAAGGAATCGCGATGAAGTCAAGGTTACGATTCCGTTAAAAACGTTCAAACGGCAGAAACCCCGACCGCCCTGACGGGCTTCTCTGAAACCTCGCTGTGCCCTCAAACCCGCAGCGAGTTGTTCTGTAGCCTCAGAAGTCGCTCCTTACACGTGGAGCAAACCAGAGTCAGAGTCACAGATTCTCAATTTGTCAGAAAGCCAAAGACGCCGCAAACGCCTCATTCGGTAGAAAGCGTACGAAGCAGCAAAGACGCCTCCCGCCCCCAGCTCTCCAACCCCCGGGTCGGTGACAACCAGGGCCAGGAAAAGGCGTCCTCCGAAGGTGCCCTGCTGCAGTCTCCGCCCTCGTGGCCTCGTGACCGCTCTGCCCAGAGCGAGGTGAGCTACCTTCCAACACGTGAGCTTTGAGACGGTAAAACAACACGTGACTTTCCCATGGACGTGCAGTCACCTCGACATGGGGCAGAGGGAAGCTGCTCTGACCTCTGACCTGCCCGGCCCGCTCCGGCTTCCGTGTGACAGCCGTCCGGGCAGCCTCTGAGACCTCAGAGGGCGCCCTGGTCCACTGCCACGGCCGCTGGCTTCCCGCCCAGAAGCCCGGCCCTCTCCCACGAAGGACGGGGACGCACGCGGGGAAGGGCAGAGGGGACAGTGGCGGGGACCGCGACTTACCGCAGGTAGAAGAGCACGTAGGCCTGCTGGTTCAGAACCACCTTGATGTTGCTGGAGTTGACCAACGAGTCGTTCATCTGATACCACTGTCCGTTGCTTGCCTGGGGGACGACGACATGAAAACCAAACATTCCGCAATCCTCACATTTTTTTTTAAAAAAAAGCATAAAAAATCTGCTGCTACTTGTCGCGCACGTCCAGGAGCACTAGGACCCAACTCACTACAGTGTGCCGCCGCTTCCCACAGAGCCATCGCCACAGCGGCCACAGCTGGACTGGCGCACACCGCAGCGCACACCTGCCCCCCACGCGGCGGGAGCCACTGACCTTCACGTAGCAGTAGTAGTGCCCGGCGTGGCAGCTGTAGCCCGAGTGGACCAGGACGGCGTACAGCCCGTACATGACGGGCTCGCCGCTGCTCTGCGACATGTACGGACGGATGTTCAGGAACTCCGGATAGCCCACGTCCTGCACGAGGAGCCGAGACAACGGCAACTGAGTCACCTTCGAGAGCGAGGGGCAGTTGGCGCTCTCTATCCACACTACAGAAAGGACACGCTCGGCCCTTTAACGGTGTGGGACGCCTGGGCCCCCAGCCTGGCCCGGCAGGGGACTCGCTCGGCCAGGGCCGGGGACGAGAGGCAGAGAAGGGGCCTCTCCCACGTCGGCCTCCACAAGTAACTGCTGTGCTGCCCCAGTGAGCGGCTCGTGGCCGGTCCGTCCTCGCCTCTGCCACGTGTCCCGTCGGCTCGCTCACTCCTGGCTTCCGCGTGTGAAGTGAGTGGAATAACCCGCTTTCTTCTCCTCCCCTCACAGGAGCGTGGCAGGGGGCAATGGGGAGAGAACGCCAGGTTTAGGCCTTCAGGAAGAAAGGTGCTGACTCCGTACGGCCAATGGTCAGAGGAAGTTACGTTTCGATGGAGTGCATCAGGACAAAGGTCAGGCCAAAATTCATTTCAGAAACTGACCATCTCTCATAGGAAAATCTTTTCGAAAATTACCTTTGCTGGGACGACAGGAGATATAACCTATCTGCATTTCTGCCTGTACACACAGACTTGTTTGATAAAGTGTAATTTACGTAATGTGAAACGCGTGGCCCCCAGGTGAACTGTTTAATAAACCTGGCAAGTGCATACTGTCAGCGACTGACAGCCCTACCAACATACAGACATCGACCCAGAAAATGCCCTCACGTCCCCGTAGGAGCATCCACCCCGAGCATCCACCGCTGACTCCTACCGCCGTTCACGAGTTCTGCCTGTCCCCGAGCGCCACACGAGAATCACACAGAATGGACTTTTTGCGTCTGGCTGCTTCTCGTGATATTTACCTACATATCTTTTCCATTCTACCGACCAACTCGAAATCTCAGAAGCCAATATACCCAACAGGCTCACGAGCTTCGGGGCAATCTTGCTACATCGGGGGCCCCCCAAATCAGACCAGCGATTCTCAAACTGTTCCGATGGAAAAGTAGTCCCAGGAGACGTCAGGGTGACACGCGAGTCCCTGGGGCAGATCCGCCCTCGTAATCACGTTCACCACTGATTATGTCCCACGGACCCCCGGTGCCTCACGTGGCACAGTGCAACGTAGGCTCGTTAACTATTAGTAAAAGCAATGAACGAATGACTCCCCAAACAATTAAGTTTGAAAATTCTTCATAATAAATTCCCCTCGGGGAGATCCAAAACGCAACATAGACAAACGAAGGCTCTGAGAAGGCCTGCAATAAAAACCGCTTAACTGCAGCTTGCCAGTTCCTGAGCTCAGGCGAGCACGGAGCACTTTCTTCCCAGATGCAGTATCAACGCTCTGCGGAGCACTGGTCTGGAAAAATGCCGACCCAAGCAAGCCCCCACTACGGCCCGTGGGGAAACTGAGGCTCAGACAGGTGCCCTGCCCCAAACCACATAATGAGGCTCCAACACCTGAGAACAGATCCCTAGACCTCTATGACACAAAGTGAATTTCCGCCCTACGTTCCACGAGAAGCCACAGCATGGAACTGCACCTGACTGACACACGGAACAGGACATGGTGGACGAGAGCCTCACGGCCTGGTGCTCGTCGCACTTACTCTTAAGGAAACCCTGACCTTCCACATCAGGCACACCCCACGCCCAGGCAGAGGCTGGGGGAAAAGCCAGAAGGACCGCGGTTCTTGGACGTGACTGTGCACGACACTTGGGCGTTTCGCGAGAACACGCATTCCTGGGTCCCCGACCTCCATGGCGAACATGCTGGCTCCAAGGAGGGTGGAACCTGCTCTTGAGAGGGCAGCCACGCGGCGGGCCTGGACACCGGGCGAGCACGCACCTTGGTGATCTTGCCCCCGCTGAAGTTGGCAAAGCGCTTGAGGGACAGCGTGAGGACGTTGGACGTGCGGTGGATGGTGAAGCGCTTGCTGGCGGGGACTTTCTTCTTGCACCTGGAAGAGGAGCGGGAAAGGCGTCAGCTCCTACTCCGACAGAGTGTCCCCACACCGGCTTAATAACAGCAGGTCTGCCAGCAACGGGGTCTCCTGCAATGCGACCTGTGGCCCCTGCATCCCCAGCAGTCACATCGAGGGGAAGCTGCCACAGAGAGACGACGAGAGAAGAGCTGGGGATTCTAGAGCAAAAATAAAGTTCTTTCCCAGCGAAGAGACCAAGATGCATGAAAAGCACCTTTGAGATTACGGAGAAAGAACAAATTAGAGCTGATGTGGCCAAGTGACGGAGAGGCAGGAAGTCACTGTGAGGGAGGCCAGAAGACAGCACGACGAAGGGGTGGGGGCAGAGGCCAGGTGGACAGCTCCTAGAGCTAGGGGGACAGCTCCTAGGGCTAAGGGGACAACTCCTAGAGCTCGGGGGACAGCTGCTAGAGCTAGGGGGACAGCTCCCAGGGCTAGGGGGACAGCTCCTAGAGCTCGGGGGACAGCTCCTAGAGCTAGGGGGACAGCTCCCAGGGCTAGGGGGACAGCTCCCAGGGCTAGGGGGACGGCTCCTAGGGCTCAGGGGACGGCTCCTAGGGCTAAGAGGATGGAGTTAGGGAGGAGTAAAAGGTAGTGTTTGGGGGGGACAGCTCCTAGAGCTCGGGGGACAGCTTCTAGGGCTAGGGGGACAGCTCCTAGGGCTAGGGGGACAGCTGCTAGGGCTCAGGGGACAGCTCCTAGGGCTAAGGAGATGGCGTTAGGGAGGAGTAAAAGGTAGTGTTTAGGCATAGAATAATAAACCTAAAAAACACAATTAAGAGAAATATTCTTTTCAGCTCTAAGCGGCCGAAATATAAAGTAATATGCGCGTACACTCATACTGTGCAACCCTGAAGAGCGTGAGGTCAGAGCTACATCTGCTGAAAGGGAGAAACGTAGAAAACGTAAGAAACGGAAGCGGCAGAACATGCTCATCTAAGAGGCAGGACGGCAGGGTGGCTGGAGCACGGGCTCTGCAACAGACGGCCGCGTCCAACACGGCCCCGCTCTGTGCCTCGAGTTTCCATCCTGTGAAATGGGGATAATTCCAGCACCTACTTTGCCAGTGAACGCCCGTGAGGCACTTGGAACGGCGACCAGCACACGGTAAGTGCTGTGTACACATCAGCTATGAAAACCATGGCTGACACTCCATGCGTGTGGTTTAGAGGTGTTTAGTTTTAAGACAGAGATCTGGTACCCGAGACATGTGAACAGGGTCGCCTCTGAGCACGGGGGAAGGGAAGGGAAGTGACAACACGCAGCAGAGTCGCACAGGTCAGGTCGCTTGTTCTGCGTCTTTCTGGCCCCTCTGCCACGAGCGAAACCAAACTTACTTGGCACACATGTAGGCGTTCTCTCCACTGAGGACATCTGGCTTCACAAAGAGTTCCAGAGCACGCACAATGTTTGCAGCTTGCTGAGAAGGACAAAAACGCAGAATAAAATAAACAGCAGAAGAAAAAGGCTGACTCGAGAAATGCCAAACGGAAGGTCTTTTTCAGGCTGAGGCAGCAAATTGCAAAACCTCACTCACATAAAAACTGCCCCACTAGCCGCCACCTTCTGGGACTGAGACAGATCACAAAGAAACGGGGGGCAGGCCGTCAGCCTTCTTCACTGATGGGGGGACGTGGGTCACAGGCATGGGAAGCCTGCCGGACTGAGCCGCGCGTTTCCAGGCTGCAGCCGGGTCTGCGCCAAGCCACAGGCTACGATGACCTCCCTAGGCTGCAGGGACAGGGCTGTCCCTCGCTACCTCGGGACACAAACTGCATTTCATCTCTACTTTTTAAATGAAAAGAATGCGCACAGGCAAACGGCGAGGAAGAAAGATTCGAAAATGGCAGCTCCTACTTCAAGGCAGTAGGAGTCTAAGTATCTCTTTCCTTATCTAATTGGGTAACGCGGCCTCCCGGGTTCCTGGGGTTTGGGGTTTTCGCCCTCTGCTCTCCCCATCCTAACGCAAACACAGCCGTGGTCCGTACCCGGATCTCCAGCGCCACGTCCAGGTAGGGGTCGTAGGTGTCCGAGACGCTCCTGCACACCGAGCACTTCACTGCAACGGAACGAAGAGGCAGTGAGCGGGCGCTGGTGGTCCCGCGTGCCTCCCCCAGGTGACCAAGTTCTAGAACGGGGAGGTCACTCTCAGCAAGCCAGTCCCCCGAGAGCCAGGCCTCGGGAGAGAGGTCACGGACACCCAGAGTCCAAAAGGAGCAACATGTCCAAACCAGCGCTGCCCGGGACGGGACATGTCCCCTGACGGACCCACGGCCTCCACAGGCATGTCCTGCCCAGCGGCCAGAGCACGGGCCAGGGTGCGCGTCAGCGACCAGGCTCGAGGCCCGTGGGCCGGCCCAGGGAAGCGCCCCGGCCCGGGCCACTCCCTAGCATTTCCCGGTTAAAGTTCTAATCCTTGACACGAGAAGGGGTAGAGAAAACGTCTCCACTTACCACGCGATCTGAGATAGCCGCCAAAAATTTGATGGACCAAAGTAGTAGCCTGCGTCTGACGATCCAACCTGGGAAGGAGGCCACAAGCCTTCACGCAAATGACAGGACACAGCAAAGCGGGGCCAGCAACCCCACCCGGGGCCCTCGCACGTCATTACTGGTGCAGCGACACGGCCGCACGGCCGACGCACTCGCCCCGCATCTCGGCAGGACCCCGGCCGTGCCCGGTGGTCTCCCCACTCTCCCTGACAGGGCCCCTCGGTGCCTCTTGGCGGGCAACCTCGCCCCCACTTCCCAGAAATTAAAGGCCTGAGCAGCTCCCCGTCTCGATGACAGATGCCCACCCCGCCACCTCTCCAGCTCGGCCCGCCTCAGGCCTGCACGGTCACCGCTACCTCTCCACTGGCTGTCACATGCGCCAGCCTCGTATCTGGTGACAAGTGGGGCTGGCAGAAGGGGACACCTGGGGCAAGAGCTGGGCAAGTCACCAAATCTGTGAGAGAAACGGAAGCGGCGTAAACCCTGGCAAAGGCGCTCACAGGAGAAGAGAGCGAACGAGGACCGAGCGCCTCATCTGATGACAATCGGCCCCCGGAAAACAAGCACGAAGCAGAAGCAAAGCTCAACACAAAACTCCCAGCCGAATTCCGGATGGGGACAGAAAAACCACCGCGAAGGAGAAAATTTAAAACTAAAAATAAAATGGAGCCAAAAAAAAGAGAAAGTTGATTGAACTCAGGAAAGACGTGGAAAACAAAGGCATAATCAATTCGGACGTGAAGACTAAATTACAAGGCGCCCAGCCGAGAAGACTTTCAGATAAAATCGCGGTGAGGGCGCGGCGAGGTGGGGAGCAACCGGGGTGACTCCAGGTCGGGACGAGCTGGAGAGGAAGTAGCTGAAATGAAGGCAGCTAGGAGTCGAAGACTCCGAAAATATAAAGCATAATAATCAAACAACACAGACAACTAGCGCACGAGAAAAATTTCCAGGAGGTAAAAAACGGCCTTTAACGAGAAGCAGCGAGAGTAACGGCCATGCACGTCCCCGAGGTCATGAACCTCGGGGTGAGAACGTTCTTCTGTCCACACGCCTCGAGCCGACCTACGCAGAGATGCACCCTCTGTCACTCAGGGAGCAGATAGCCGGGGGAGGTGGCCAACGACAGTTAATCCAAGATGTTCTTAGTGAAACCATCAGACTCTAAAGATTTTAAAAAGACCCTGAAGTAAAAAGATCAACTGCTACCTCGGGCTTCCAAGCCCAGCCCAGGGCGGCCGGGGGCTAAGAAGGAAGCAAAGGTGGAGGCGGGGGACGAAGGCGGGAGGAGAATGTACAAATCTTGTTATGTTCCAACAAAATAGGAAATAACACAACCAAGGTTTAAGAGCAGAAAGGAGGGAGGAGGCAAAGGACACCATCAAAAACTGAGGCCCAAGGGCGTGCCAAGGGCGTGTGAAGGGCGCCCGCAGAAACCTACAGCTCTTCCTAAACCTGGAACGGACGTTCACAATAAACAAAACTCGGAGAACGAAACAGCCCATACGCTCTATGCGACAATTACAAAACAAAACGATTCGGCGAGGTCAAGACCGAACTTCAGTCATAACGGTAAATGTGAAAGGGCTGAACTTGCCCATAAAAGAAATGGTCCTTCGATCTGGCTCACAGAGCAGGACGGAACTGGAGACAGGCCCAGAGCGAGGGGCCTCAGTGCGCGATGGCCGTCGGGAACCTCGGCGAGCAGGCCACACCCCGATGGGGGCACAGCAGAACCCGAGCCCCAAAGCATCAACTGTGACAAAGGGTGCTTTGTAGTATCAACCAAGTGAAGTTGTGAGGGATACAAGTGTCCGACCACAGCACCCTCCTTAAAGCAGCAGCCACCGGAGACATAGGTGACAGGCACACGCCATTCTCAGCGGAACCCAGGGGAGCGAGAGGAAGCAGGGCCAGAGAAGACACGATCGACTGCAGACCTCATAGAGACACACTCGGAACCCCGCCCCACGACACGAGCGTGCACCGTCTCAATTGCACGGGAAACTCACAAAGAAAACGTCAGGAAGCCTCACGAGGAAGAAATTCTACGCCCTGCTCACACATTCACGTGAAAACCACCAACGAAAACCACAAACACAAAAAGGCCCCTCCGCCCGCACGGTAAACTGACAAGTTGCTGTTGGAAGGCCGGCCCGTGTGCCATTCTCACCGTCTCTCATGTCACTGCAGACCAGTGACAGCTGTCCCATGGGCAGGTGGCCGGCAAGCATCCCAGTCCCCAGCACCGTGCCCGGCCACGCCTGCCCCACCTGACGTCTGACGCCCTCACCCTTCCACCAGGACCTACCCTGCCCGGACCAAGAACCTGGGCTCCTCCCCTCCCTCAGGCCCAAACCCAAACCTATCCACTCCACCCCCAGCCCATCCCTCCTGAATTCTCCCACCTCCAGAGTGTGGCTCATCAGCCTGGCATGGGGTCAGTCATTGTCCTAAGAGCACCCAGGTGACTCCACCCTGGACCAGGGCTGGGAACCACTGAGACATGCCACACCCACCTGCAGAGCAGGGAGGTCACCCCCCCATACCACCTGCCTCTGCAGGCCCCGCGGCCCGGCCACATTCCGCATGCTCTAAGCTGGGGTCACTCCTACGGGGGAGCAGCATGATGCTCCCGGGGGTGCTTCTCTGTCCCTCCACTACAGCACTTACTATGGTGACAGCGTGGCTGCCAACTGGTTACCCGTCTCCCCTGGTTACACTCCGAGCTCCTCAAACTCAGGGGCCACATCTTAACCCTCCCCCAGGGGGTGGTCCACCCAACGGATGAGTGACTGTGGACAGTGCGTGGGCGGGGCAGAGCCAGGACCTGCCTGGCAGGAGGGAGGCCTCGGCCCCTGCAGGGACAGGGGAGAACGGCTGACCAGGCCAGAGACCCCAGGGCAGCGAGGGGACGGCGCCCAGGGCGCCCCGGGCCGCTTTCCAGGCTTATCTCTGAGGACCTCGTCCACTGAGACAGGCTCTCCCGTGAGCCTGCTGCGACTCAGCCACCTTTCCGAAGGACATTCCAGAAGGGCTCCGTGAGTCGTACACGGTGTCTGCAGAGCCGAGGGGCAGCTCCACTCGGAGCTCAGGCAACGGCCATGAGGCGGGGGGCACTTCCTACCTGTCTTTTTCTGTCTGAACCCACAAACCCAGGAATGACACAAAAACCTTCCTGACAGTAACTGGTTCACGAAAGGGAACACGTCGTCAACGTGTCACATGTTCATGCTTTCAAATCTGAAATTACGGAACGGTAACTGGGCAGTGAAATTACCAAAATCGCTAACCTCCTGCTCTCAAATTCTCCTGCAGGCTTTCAAGCTCTTTCGTAAAGGCTTGCCAATTCCTAGCGGCCCAGCCTCTGTATCAATGTGAGGCGGTGGCTTTAAAAAGACGAGAAATGTCCACGTCAACAGCAAAGGCCCTCAGAGAGGCCTGCTAAAGCCTTTTCTGTCCACAAGTCCCCGGACAGAGCATGACCACCACCGCCTGGTGCTGCCACCGCCCCAGGCTACGAGAAGGGGGCAGGAGGCCTTTCCCAGGTGGCGAGGGCCACCCCTTGTCCAAGGGCCAGCAGGTCAAGGGCCCGGATGCGGAGGTCAGTGGAGGGAAGTCAGGGAGGGCGCTGCGACCCTACTTGGCACAGCCGCTCAGGCAGGCCTTCTGCATGGCGTCGATGGTGTACCGCAGGAACTCGTGCGCATCCTCCTGGCTCCCGAAGCGGAAGTGCCGGGCGATCTCTAGGGGAAAGAAGCAGCATCACACCTGAGGGGGGGCTCCCGCCTCCGCAACCGCCTGCCCTGGTCACCGCCACCCGGCTGACCCGGCGTCCCCAGTGGGCTGTGCAAACTGCCGCCGTCCACTAGTGACTGTGCACAGCAGCAATGCCCTCAGCGAGACCCTCTGGACTCAACGGCAAAGCGGCCCCGCCTCGGAGCGCCGGGCACCTCGACTGCGAAGTCCACTGAGGAGCGAGTCTCCAGGGACCGGCACTGAGCATAGGTGACCACAATGACGTCACAGGTGTCAGACACCAGCTGGCCTAGCTCCTCTGCTGAGCGGAAGGGAAGCCGGCTCCTGGGATGCCGGCAAGGGCCTGCACGCCTTCCTCACCCCGCTGGCACCCCATTCCCATCCCGCTCCCCTGACCCCTGCAACACCCCCAGCCTGGCCCCACCCACGGCTTCTTCACGGCAGGCCCCCCACAAGCCCTTTCACACGGAGCCCGGCCCGGCGCGGTTCCTAACCACGCCTTCGGTCTGCACTGCCACACGCGCCACTTAGTGCTACCAAGTCTTGGGGCTCCTGGGACTGCTCCCGACTTCATCTCCCCCTGCACAGCGCACATTTAGCAGCTGGAGACAAGGAATCCGCTCTTACTTTTCAGATCCCGGATGAAGGACACGGGCTTGATGGCGTTGCCGCTGTTGGCGAAGGCCTGGACGATGTGGTTCTGCATGAGGCACAGCATGCAGAAGCTCCCCTGGCGGCCTGCGGGCGGGGCGGGCGGGAGTGAGGGCGGCGCTTGCCGGAGGCCACGTGCCAGAGCGGGACCCCGAGGGCGGCTGAGCAGGCCCAGGCCCAGGCCCAGAGCGGCGCGGTGACCACCGGGGACCCTTCTCTGTGCTGCTCCCACCTCCCCGCCTCTGCTCCTGCCCTGATTTCCTGATTTTTATTTACCAATTTTTGAAAATCATGGCTTAAGTTTTAACACATATGCCCAATACAGAACGGTCCCGTTTGTCGACTTCATCAACAGGAATCCCCCCGGGACTGCTCAGAGCTGTGGCCGTTGTGTGTGGCGGCCGCGCCCCACCCCGGCCTGCCCGGTGTCCCACGTCCGGTCTGCTGGCGGGCGCCTGCGCTTACACGTTCAGCTGTGGACGCTGTAGTGCAGGTTTCCCGCACGCGTCGGAGCTTTTCTGCAGAATCGCTGGGTGGATTCCAAAGACGTCAGATTGTTTTCCAGAGTGAGTCTTCCACGTGGTCAGGATGTGAGACTAAGCAAAAGGGCAATGCGCACCCAAACCCCTTTACGGTAGGCTAACTGACCGGACGAGAGTTCGGGTCCCGGGGCGCCTTACCGACGCCGACATCACGAGAAGGGGTGCAATTCCGGTTCGGGGGCCCGGTGTCGCGTCAGGGCAGGCCAGCGGCACGCGAAGACTCTCAACCCTCCGCACGCCGGACTTCTGCGTCTTCGCTGATCACGGAGGGGACGGCAGGCCCACGGGGTCCTGTGGCACTTCCCTGGTCGCCTTCGCTGATCGCGGAGGGGACGGCAGGCGCATGGGGTCCTGTGGCACTTCCCTGGTCACCAAAGCACGACTGGCAGGCTGAGCACCAACCCTACTCGTCCCAGCCACGAGGCTCTTCTGTAAAGGGCTGTGATGTGTCAATTTTTAACTCCTTACTGTCTCTTCCTCGTTTTGGGGTTCTTCATTGACTCTTGGCACCAGCCGTCGTCCATGTGTCCCAGCTTCCTTCTCCCAGTTCGTAGTCCCCAACCATCTTTTAATTTTCTGTTTTTTCATGAAGAGAGTCTTTAATTTGAACACAGCTGATCAGTTTTGTCTGTTATGGTCAGCACTTTGAGTCTTGTTTAAGAAACCTGCCATCCCAAGGTCAGAGACATTTGCCCACATTTGCTATGGAAGCGCCGTTTTATTTGATAGTTTTCAATCCCTTACGTGCGTGCCTGCTGTGAAACGGGGACCCTGTTTCCCTTTTTCATATGTAAACCCGAGTTATTTTAAGTTGTTTGTTTAAAATGGAAAACACGTGTATGTGAAAACCTGATACGTAACACTCCATTTCCAAACGCTGGTTTCTGGGCTCTGCTCTCATCCGGGGGTCATCTGTCCCCCGAGCCAGCACCACAGCATCTTGACCTCTGCAACCGCACGTGAAGACCGTGGTTGGCAGAGCATCTCTCCCCTTGGACGCTTCTTCAGAACCGTCCTGGCGATTTTCGGTCCTCTGCTTTGCTTTTCCGTGTAAATTTTAAAATCAGCTGTGGCTGCGTCACTCTCTAATCTAATGTGGGGAGAACTGACATTTCCTGATGCTGACCCCCGCCCCACGTGTGTAGGTTACCAGCTAACAGCCTTCCGCCACGGTCCGCACACACACCTTGGTAAATTTAGGTCCAGATACTTCATCATTGTTACTGCTCTGAAACATTGTTTCATAACAGCAAAAAAACTTTTATAAGTCTTTTATGTTTGGTGCCGAGAAATTCGATTTTTTGTCTACTGATGTCACGTGTCTAGCCACGTTGCCAACTCTCTAATCTGTCTATTGAGCCTCTTGCTTTTCTGGGCAGGAGCACCATCTTTGAGGGGTAGCCTTATCCTTTCCTCCCGAGTCGCCGCTCCGGCCAGGACCGTCACGTGATCAACGGGAGCGGTGGTCGCGGCTGCCCCCATTCCACTCCTTATTTTACAGGGAACGTTTCCAAGGCCCCTTTGAGAATGCTGTTCTGTAGTTTCTGAGAGGCACCCTTTATTGAGATAAGAAAACTCCCCTCCATTGCTATTCTGCTAAGAGTTTATCATAAATTTTGGGGGGACATCTATCTCTAAGTGACCTTTCCCTTTTAACCCGTTAGGGCAGTAACAGTGATCGCGTGTGCCGGGTCTCACTCTAGCCCTCAGCTTCACGCCAGCACCGTGAGGGGGACGGCACGATGGCTTTGTGGGAGGGACAATGGAAGGCCTATTCAGACTTTATTCTACTTTCTCCAGTTTTCATAAGTTATATTTTACTTCATCTTTATTTTTGTTTTAAATTTCTACTTTGGGGCCTGTTTCCCAACGTGCATAAACACTGGCCGACAGACGTGTACGGTAACTGAACATGCTTATTTTGGAGGTTCCCTTTGAAGTCCCTTTTTCCTGTTTGGATAAGCACTTTTGGAAAAGTCGGGACCACTGCTCTACCTGCGTGACCCCTTCCGTAGCCTGCCCCGCAGTGGGTGAAACGCGCCCTTAGGTTTTATCGGTCACTGCGTGTACTGAACGCCACTCCTAAATCTGCTCCAGGCGGAGGGAGGCGACGCCGGGGCGCACGGGGTATCTCCCTGGGTGGCGTCCCCGCCCTGCGCACAGGGCCACCCCGTGCCACGCGCGGGCTCTCACTCACAGCTGCGGGAATGCTCCTTGGAGAGCAGGTAGCCGGCCAGGGGTGGCGTGTAGGTCAGGCACTGCACGGTGGAGTTGAGGAAGCACGTGTTGCCCAGGTTGTGCAGACCGGCTCCCACGCGGTACACGCGCTCCCACTTCAGGGACAGCCGCTCCAGGGGGAAGAGCACTTTCTGGGGGGCGGGGACGCCATCGCCCCTGCTCTCGTTCACGTGCTCGCCGCCTGAGAGAAAGGGGCAGGGAGGCAAGGCGGACGACGTGAGTCTACACGCAGCCAGGTGACAGGGAGTGACTGCTGGCTCGCGTGCTTGGCGGGCACCCGCTCAGGACACGGCACGGAAGGACACCTGCTGCCCTTGCACTTTTCATGAAGAGGAAGCCCGGGAGGAAGCCCGGGAGGAAGCCCGTCACCCCGCAGCCCGCTCCCCTCTCTCTCGTTTCCAAGTCCCGCTTCTGATCCTATGAAACACACACGTGCCAAAGACACCTAAGGATGCAGCTCTCTGACCAACCCCATATCGTTACTTCGACAACTGAAGTCCATGGACCCCAGAAAAAGCTCACACTTGACCGCATTCTGGTTTTGCCCCAGCTAATCGTTCAACGTTTCGCCCGCCCACTTGGTGACCACACGGCGAGGCCCTTTCCGCCAGCGAGCCGGGAGCCCGTACCCGGTCTCCTGGCCTGAGGCTCATCCCCGCCCCTGTGGCGGCCGGCTCCCTCCACTCTGGGGGTCAGCAGCACATATTTGCTCTTCAAGGACTCCAGCTGATAGGAGAAGCTCTTGCTGGCAGGCTCGAACTCGATCTTCTGTAGAAGGACCTTCTTGGCGGAGGCGGCCAGCAGCTTCCCCAGCTCTCCATCGTCGGCCGAGTCCTTGCGGCCGGGCTTCAGGGCCTCCTTTAACTTATCGACTATTGGCATGGTGCATCACTGTGGGGACAAGAAGGAACAGAGAGTGACGGGAACCGGGTCCCAGAACAATGCACCGCTCCTTTAAAGAACCCCTGTGCTCATTCATCACGGAGGGGCGCCGCTGTAAAACCTTCTCCGGATCGGCGGCCAACCCTGCAAAGCAAGTGTAAAATACTAAAAAAACTCAGGATGAGGATTTAAAAAATCTCAACAGTAAGCGCTCGGATGCAGCAGAGTCCGCGCTTCTCCCAAAGACCAGGGGCCGTGAGCAGCGCCGGGCAGACAGGACGGCAGCTGAGACACGGGTCGGCCCGCGGCCTGCACCTCTCCTACGGGACTGCGGGCATTGTGCTGGTGCGATTTTAGTCCAAAGGTGACCACGTGATCCTAACGTCTGCTCAAAACCGGGGAAATGCCGATGCTTGGAACACACGCTGGTCACACACACGAATCCACGTCACAAAGGAGGCAGTGCAGCCAGAGGAGAAGCGGGCGTCTGTCCCGGACCCCACTCCCCAAACCGAAAGCCACGGGCTGCACGTGACTGCCGAGCACGGGACGAGGCTGGTCCAGACTGCGGCGTGCTGGAAACGCGGGACTCACGCCAGATGTCAGAGGCTTAGTATGAGGACTTTAAAAATCTCAATAGTTTTTAGATGGGTTACGAGCTGAAATATTTCACATATATTGGGGTGAATAAAATAGATTATGAAAATTAATTTCTTCCGCTTTTTATTTTTTAATGTGGCTACCGTGACATTTTAAATTACTTTTGTGGCTCGCGTTACTGGACAGTGCATGTGCAGATTACTTTTAACAGGGAGGGAGACGAGAGAGGACAGGAACAGGATGAGACGCCTGAACTTGAGCAAAGCGGGGAAGTGGCAGCTCTGGGCTCTGGAGCGCGGCAGGCCTGAGCTGTTCCATCAGCTACTGGCTGTACACAAACGCCAGAGACAGTCACTGTGACTGTCACAGGTCTCCTGTTCTCTGTAAAATACGGACAGAAACAGCCGAAGGTGGCTGAGAAGTCGATGGCTGTGAAATTAAGGGGGCGCGAGCACTGGGTGGTGCTGGGTGCTGGCTACAGAGCAGAATCTGCAACCAACGGGAAACCCCCATCCCCTCTGCCGGCGACGCTGTCTCTACCTCTTCTCTTCCCCACCCACTGCCAAAGCTCAAGGACTATTTGAGTCACAGTTAGAAAACCAGGTTCCTTAAACTGCTCGCTCTTATCAGAAAAACAATGACTCCCTTAGGTGTCCAGCATCCAGCCTGCCACAGGAGAACCAACTAGTCAGCTGTGCCCCCAAGACCCCTGCTCTAGTGAACGGACCACCTCCGGCACCTCTTATTAAACCCAATTTATTGTTATGAAGCATCTAATTCCATACATAGATCAAGTTTCTTTGTCTATAAAAATGTCTGTAAAGAACAGAAACGTAAACTTTATTTTTAAAAAGCGAGCATGAGTTCTTTGAGTTGAGGATGTAAAAGCACCTCTCCCGGGAGAAATTACCTACGCGTTCTCGCCGCTGCACACTCACTGCCGGGCCACGTGCAGGTGACCGGCAGGAATGAACGGATGTGCAGAAGCCCACACGGCTCACCTGGGACGTGGGGACTTGGGTGCAGGGCTGCTGCAGCATGGGGTCGCGTTCCTGGTCAGACCGCGTGGGTGTGGCCCGAGAGGTCACCAAAGCCGAGAGCGTGTCGTCCAGAATGGGTGTCAAACCTGTGGGGTGAACAGAGCACCATGTGAGGCCAGCTCTCCTCCCGCGGTCTCATCGGCCCCACTCTGCCGGGAGCAGCCGGCGTTAAGGCCGAAAGAATACAGACAGTGCGCTTCTGGGAAGAGCTGGGAGGAGACGGAGCTAATTAGCTACAAATTATTGCAACGGGCGTGACATGAAAACACGGCCGTGTGCCCTGCATCCGAACCTTCACGCCAGTGACAAAGCCGGTGAACAGAAGTCTCCCCACACTCCCCAGTCGACGCCAGCCCCAAGTGCATTCCGAAGCGTAAGAGGCAATGGATGATCTCCGACCTTCAGATTTCACAAACCAGTAAAACTCCCCCAAGGGGAGTTTTAACCTCCTCCGAGGGAGCAATAAAAGCTGCCAAATTTTCACTTTGCTCAGCGTGGACTCGTGTCTTTGATTACCACCCACAATCACCATGACGACATAAAATTCACGTACTTGAAAACTTTCTGCTGTGACAATGTTCAACATACACCACGTGGAGAGAACGACCCCGCGATCCACACCGTTCCCTCTGCGGGGCCAGAGCTCCCCATGCGGGATCGAGCTGCACACTTCACAGCAGGTGTCAGATACCGCGTGTCCGACACCCGCAAGTCAAAGCTCATCGACACCCGAACAACAACAAAACTCCCTACCATGGCGCCGCTGTAGCAAGACTCACCTCGCTGTGGACAAGTGAGGACGTGGGCCCACAGGAGAGTGTGCGGGGACCCGGCAGACGGGGGATACACAGAACTTGGGACAGTTAACCCAAGTTAATTCAAGATACGTAACTTATGTAATACCTATCCCATAGCCCACCCCTCCACGTGGAGTCGGACATTTGAACATAATTTCTCCTGCTCTGATAGAGATCAATCTCTGTGTCACCAATTTCACCTGAAATATTAAGCAGTAACCTAAAAATGATTTCTCTCTGAGGTGGAGAAATCCAAAGAAAAATGGCCTTGCATCGTCGGCGAGCCCTTGACATCCTCACTTGATAACACACTCTTCAAGACCGGAAGGATGCTCTCTCCATTCTATTCCTCATGGTCCAGGTGAGAGGCTCCACCTAGCCATGTCTTTTTCTGCCTCCAAGAGTGCTCAAACATAGGTTCCTCAAAACGAATACCATTCCATTCAGGCGCTTTCT